AATAGGATTGCGGGAGATCGAGATATCACGTCCTAAATTGATCGTTAATTTTTTGGCGATCATTTCTAATGAAAAATTGATCGGCGAATTATGAATCAGTCACTTTAGTATGCAATATTTCGAGCGAAAATACCATGATTTGATTTGTTTAGATTAGACAAATCGAATGGTAATATTTCCGCTCAAATCGGATCACTGGACGTTGAAATATTATGTCCTAAAGTGACCGATTTATTGTATTTGGAGTATGAACATGCAATACCCGATATAAAAATAAAAAGGTATCAATGATCAGCGTTTGTGATGTACATGTACTATGCATATAAAATTTCAGGGACCTACACATGATCTATCAAAATTATCGATGCGGGGATACTTTTGTCGGGCACTGTATTATATCATTTACAGGAATTTTTGATTAAATGACCAATACAACAGTTTTCAATGATATCAATCATTATTTTATTGATTTTTACCCCATTTCATCGAAATTTCAAAAGAAAATAATTATATAGCATAAATTTTACCTATAATAAACTTTCATGAAAATTCGTTCGGTTTCGATTCGGTAACCAAAAGATGTCGTTAATTACCGAACCGTTACCGATAATCTGACGGTTCGCTAAATTTCGGAGCTCTAGGCGATTCTCTCCACAAGTAAAAAGACATAACGATAATTTATATTACATACCTGTGGAAACATAGATAGTCGTAGTCGCATTTCAAGCTCCATAACGATAATATTTTGCAGATAGCCTATCTTGACATTACGGGGGTTTAGCCGAAACTCGATTTAACGACGTGCATGTTTTTGACAGGAGATTTCGTTATATCATAAGATATTAATTGTGTGGGATCATGTTGAAAAACGGATTATGATGAAAATTTGCAATATCTATTATAATAAACTATAAATATGCATAAAATATATAACTTCAATTTTGCAATAATGTTTATATTATATAAATTTATTAGTATAATTGTTATATCATTAATCCCATGATCTGCACAATTTTGGCCAAAATTTTCACCATAATCCGTTTTTCATCATGATCCCCCACATTAATTATGTATCATTTAATAAAATTCGGTAAATCAAGATTTTTTTAAATAAGAATGAAATGGAGATGTTTATTTCTATCGTTAAATACCATTTTCGCTAGAACGCATCATCGTTAAACCGAGTTTCGACTGTAGTTCGATCTGACCTGTTGCTTTATTATCGGAAACATCCTTCTGCAAAGTTATATATTTCTTCTTTATTGGTAAGTTTCTTGCGATATGATTAATGCATGTAATATATATATATATATGTAGGTGGGTGTAGCTTCATTTATATCGGTCGTTTTCACGTTCGAAAGTTTTAAAATTATATCGGCTAAAACAGTTCTACAAATAGCTTATTTACAATTAAACCTCTTACACTGTAAATTTTTTCTTCTATAAACTTTGTTATATAAAGGTAATTTAAAACAATCTTTTTTCTTTTCTTATATCCAGGATTCGTTATATCAAGATTTGACTTGACTGTAAATAATGGACTCACTATAGCATACAGAAAAATCTTGTATTTTCTCAAGATCTATCCATACTTGGTGAAAACACTACAAGCTAAAGCTGAATATTTTTGAAAAATAGCATCATATAAAATGAACAATTTTATTGCTATAGCATATCATTATCGTTATATCCTCTCAATAAGAATCTGATCTGATCAAATTTGCTTGTGGTAACCAGACAAATTGAATGTTTATCATCTAACTAAGCTAGAACAGGAAAATGAGATTCAAAGCTGGATGTCTTTTTTTTAATAGGTTCGTCATGATTCAAGCTTTTTATTAAATCTTTGCGATTACGGATTTTATTCATGCCAGTATTAGCGTTAGAATATTTGTTAATTTAACTGATTGCATGCCTTTTAACATCGCAAAATTCAGCAATTTTCCTCATGAGTTTCGCCATCCATAAAGAATCGAAACACTCGCACACCAATGAGAAATGTTGGTGATCCATGGACACAAAGATAAGCATAATGATATCGGGGATCAGTAATAGTTTTGTGTACGCTTATGTAAATCACGTATATATTGCACTATCCATTGACCAAATTGGAATTTATGAAAATGTGGAGATAGACCGCGTGATACTATGTGAGAAACATGCGAGAGAATTTTGCAAAATGGTCAGCTGGCCAAACTGACAACCGTTTTTACTTGTAGGGTTTTATTTGATTTGTTTTTGATCGCGTTAATTGCTGGTGGTTGTCATTTATTCTCTCTGTATTCATCACAAAACATGATTTTGAAAAAACAATTTTTTCTTTTATCTTGTGATTGACAACAACAAAAAGTCAAAAATCACAATTTTATACTAGTTTATAAAGAATATCAACCGACCGACGATTACGCGAGAAGATCTAATCTCAACAGATATGAAAAAAAAAGAAAGCTTATTTTTATATTTTAGATCATTCATTTGGTACTACAAGTACAATCTATTGATGTGTGCTTAAGATCTTTTAGATAAGAAACAGCATATCTTATCCATCATGTGTTTTTTTTGCGTGTTAAGAAGATGCCGTAAATACCCGATTATTATACTTCGTTATTGGAGTGAGAAACAAACTATTTATTTGACACCTTGAGAACCGAAAAAATTTGCGCCCATCACTACAACTTAGCCACTCGAGGAATTAAAGAAAAATCGGTATCAATCAATCAATTAATCGATCGGGAAATCGCCGCCATAAAAATTTGTGTTTGGATTGGTGAAAATTATTATTGATCATTTGACTCAAACATCTCTGCATCATCGTTATCTGCCATCAATAAAGGAATAATTCGGGATGAAAGAAATTAAGATTTTAAAGTATGCATACAATAGTGGCACTGTTCTCCAATAATAATAATCGGAACTTGTGTTGCCTAAAATTACATACAATATTAGAGATTATCTCCTACTTTATTTTAACGCCAAAAAGCAAGATCGATTCTTTAAAAAAACACAGACACGATGCTTCCCGAAGATAAGACCATCCATCATATACGCAGAAGTAATGGACGGGTTCACATGCTACTCATTTATTTTTCGTTGTTGATAATAATCTGATGAACGATCAAGATGTGATATATTAGCAATAAAGATCGAAATGATAACAACATCAACGAAAGAATAAATTGAGGCGATTAATCTTTTCTGTAATTTTTGAAATCTATGCGCGTGTCGTTTACCTTCTTCTTAAGTAACAATAATAGTTAGGCACACGAATTTCACGAACATAAAATAAATAAATACAATCACAAAAATCAATATAATTGTTATTAGAGAGACGACACGACGCATTTTCAACAAAAACTTTGGTCATTTATCAATCAATCAATCCTCATCAATTATTGAATTGGAAGATATAAAACGCATACGTATATATGTAATGTGGTTTGCCTTTTACAAAGCTTGAATCTTGATTTTCTATTAATAATAAGATCAATAATATTAATTATCTCTTTTTTCACAGTATTATATATATCTTACAAATAAAATATATAAATATATAAAATATATAATACCTAATAATATAACATATATAGATATAGCTATTATTATATAAAAGTGTGATTACACACGTCTTTTAATTTCTTCGTCTCTTTCCACCACTACCTCAATTGGTGTCTTCATTATTATCACTACCATAAATAATAATAATAATACTAACAATAACAAGACGGCAGTTTTTCGCCGATACTGTATTTCAAATCTGCTGCTGTGAGTTTAAAAAGAATAACAGAAGAACGCAACGATACTTGTATAATAAATATCGTCATCATCATCAGAAGTATTAATATCAACATCCAGTAAATCTTTGCGCGCCTAAGTATAGTTATGGTATCTGTCGTCGAACTTGAAGAAACTAAACAAGAACAACAACACGAGCAATATAGAGATAATTGTAGTGCTAGTGACGACTTTCATCAAAGTAGTGACACCAGCCACAACACTATTAACCTTGAAGAAGAAATTAATCTTGAAGAAATTGATCTTTTAAAAGAAGCTGAAGAAAACCATAGCTTTTATACCACCTCTTTCAATACCATCAAAAACATCAACAACGATGATCTCTCCAGCGATAACGAAAACGAAAATACTTCTTGGGCTGAATCTATTCCCTCTAAACAAGCTCTCTATAATCCTGAATACGAAAAAGATTCCTGCGGTGTTGGTTTTATTGTCCATATCAAAGGTGCTCCTTCGCACAAAATTCTCAGTGACGCAAAAAGTGTTCTCTGCAACATGACTCACCGAGGTGCTGTGGGTGCAGATGCAAGAGATGGTGACGGTGCCGGTGTAATGACCGGAATTCCGCACGAACTTTTCCAAATTGAAACATCAAGGATTGACATTGATTTGCCACAACAAGGCCACTACGCCGTCGGTAACGTGTTCCTGAAACCGGAACCTGCCGTGATGGAAGAAAGCAAACAAATTTTTGAACAGGTTGCGGAAAATTTGCACTTGCGAGTTCTTGGATGGCGTGAAGTTCCCAAAGATAATACCATTCTCGGGCCTGCTGCTAAATCACGTGAACCAATCATTTTGCAACCGTTTGTTACTCTCGCAAATCCTTCAAAAGAATTTGACGAGACCTTTTTTGAACGACAGCTTTATATTTTGAGGAAGCAAGCCACCCATACAATTACCGTGAAGAAATGGTTTTACATTTGTTCTCTGTCTAATAAAAATATCATTTATAAGGGTCAACTTTCTCCTGTGCAAGTCTATAATTACTTTCATGATTTGAACAATGTACTCTATAAGACGCATTTTGCGTTAGTACACTCGCGATTCTCGACTAATACTTTTCCTTCTTGGGATCGCGCTCAACCGATGAGATGGTGTGCTCACAATGGTACTTTTTGATTTTCCCTATTATTGTTAATATGGACGTGCCGTACATTCAATTGCGATTAATCTTAATCTTAATCTTTGCATCAAAAAAAGGTGAAATAAACACATTACGAGGCAACAAAAATTGGATGCGTGCCCGCGAAGGTATTATGAAATCAGTCCTATTTGACCATGAACTCGATCTATTATATCCAATCATCGAAGAAGGGGGATCCGATTCTGCCGCTTTCGACAACGTGCTAGAATTACTTGTGATCAATCGTGTCGTCTCGTTACCCGAAGCGGTAATGATTATGATTCCGGAAGCATGGCAAAATAATCAATATATGGAGCCAGAAAAACGCGCATTTTATAAGTGGGCTGCGTGTTTAATGGAACCTTGGGATGGCCCTGCTTTATTCACATTCTCGGATGGTCGTTATTGTGGTGCAAGTTTGGATCGTAATGGTTTAAGACCTTGTCGATTCTATATTACCACTGATGATATGATGATTTGTGCATCAGAAGTTGGTACTACTTATATTGAACCAGAACGTGTAGTACAGAAAGGACGTTTGCAACCAGGAAAAATGTTGTTGGTCGATACCGAAGAAGGTCGTGTTGTCGATGACAAAGAACTGAAATTATCGGTCTCTTCCCGTGCAAATTTCCAAGCTTGGATTGATCGACAAATGATTACGCTTGATGATATTGTTAGCAAAATCAAAGCTACTGGTAATGGCATTTCAGTCAGCTTGGATGCGACAACTATTGCCGAAGATCCAAGATTAAAAGTTTTTGGATATACAGTTGAACAATTGAATCTTTTAATGTTACCAATGGTGTGTGATTTGTATATTTTATTGAATTCTTTTTTTCTAAAACTAACTTTAATTTCTTGAATTCAGATTAATGAAGGAAAAGAGGCACTTGGATCCATGGGCAATGATGCACCTTTATCATGTTTATCAAGTCAACCTCGTCTTATTTATGATTATTTTAGACAACTTTTCGCTCAAGTCACAAATCCCCCAATTGATCCCATTCGTGAAGAAATTGTCATGTCTTTGGAATGTTATGTTGGACCTGAAGGAAATATTTTGGAAGTCAATGAACAGCAAACACACAAATTATTATTAAGATCTCCGGTTCTTTCAATAGACGAATTAAATGCAATCAAACGTATAGAACGTGTGCAACCTGACTGGAATGTAGCCACCATCGACATTACCTTCCCTAAACAAGAAGGTGTACCCGGATATCTTTTAGCCTTGGAACGCGTGTGCGCCGAAGTTTCACAAGCTATTCAAGAAGGATTCAAAGTGGTTGTACTTTCAGATACCGCCACCAATGCCGAAAGAGTCGCCATCTCTTCGTTAATTGCTGTCGGTGGTGTTCACCATTATTTAGTTCGTAGCAAACAACGGTCAAAGATTGCATTGATGATTGAAACCGCGGAGGCTCGTGAAGTTCATCATATTTGTGTTCTTTTGGGTTATGGCGCAGATGCAGTCTGTCCTTATTTGGTAATGGAAGCGATTTTGAAATTGAAGCGTGAAAACGCGATAAAGAGCGATCTTTCGGGCGATAAAATCATTGCCAATTACAAAAAAGCTATCAATAATGGTATTTTGAAGGTCATGTCAAAGATGGGAATTTCTACCTTACAGAGTTATAAGGGTGCACAAATTTTCGAAGCTTTGGGAATCGATGAAAGTGTGATTGCACGTTGTTTTGCAGGCACTGCAAGCAGAATAAAAGGTAATTTATCCATTTCTTACTTTTTATTTAATTAGCAACTAATTTATTTTCTAATGCTCAATTTCTGTGTTATACAAAAACAGGCACCACATTTGATCTTTTGGCATTGGACGCATTTGCATTCCACGAACAAGGTTTTCCCTCACGTGACACAATCCTTCCACCCGGTCTTCCCGAATCCGGTGAATATCATTGGCGTGATGGTGGCGAAGCACATATCAACGACCCAGTCGGTATTGCAGATCTTCAAGACGCTGTTCGTTCAAAGAATCAAAAATCATATGACTCCTATGCCCGTAATGCATTCGAGCAAATCAAAAATTGTACTCTTCGTGGTCTTTTGGAATTTGACTTCGAGAATTCAAAGCCTATTCCGATTGACCAGGTCGAACCTTGGACTAATATTGTGAAACGATTTTGTACTGGAGCAATGTCTTATGGTTCGATATCTATTGAATCGCATTCTGCGCTCGCTATTGCGATGAATCGGTTGGGTGGTAAATCGAATACTGGAGAAGGAGGCGAGGTTTGTCTTTTTTAAACATAAAAATGAGTTAAAGAGAAAAGAAACTAGCAAATATTTATATCGTACCGAATTTGATAATTAGGATTCTGAAAGATCCATCATATTAGAAAACGGTGATACCATGAGATCAGCAATTAAGCAAGTTGCATCAGGTCGTTTCGGTGTCACAGCATATTACTTATCAGACTCTGATGAGTTACAAATTAAAATGGCGCAAGGTGCTAAACCTGGAGAAGGAGGTGAATATATAAGATTTATTATTCGATTATATATGTTTATAATTATATTACTCTTTACTAATTCCTATCAACATATCAATAATAGGTGAATTACCTGGTCATAAAGTATCAGAAGCTATCGGCAAGACGCGTAAATCAACACCAGGAGTCGGTTTAATCTCGCCGCCACCTCATCATGACATTTACTCAATTGAAGATTTGAAACAACTTATTTATGATCTGAAATGCTCAAATCCACGTGCTCGTGTCTCAGTTAAATTAGTTTCGGAAGTTGGTGTTGGTATGTTGCATTTTTATCTTTTTGTTGTATCATTTACAAAACCATTATTCTAATTTGGATTTTTAATTAAAAAAAGGCATTGTTGCATCGGGAGTTGCCAAAGCCAAAGCTGATCATATTCTAATTTCTGGACATGACGGTGGCACTGGTGCATCTCGATGGACTAGTATCAAATACGCTGGCTTACCTTGGGAACTTGGTCTCGCCGAAACACATCAAACTCTTGTACTAAATGATCTTCGTGGTCGTGTAGTAGTGCAAACTGATGGACAAATAAGAACTGGACGTGATGTTGCCATTGCCTGTTTATTAGGAGCTGAAGAATGGGGATTTGCTACTACCCCATTAATCGCCATGGGATGTATCATGATGCGAAAATGTCATTTGAATACTTGCCCTGTGGGAATTGCCACACAAGATACTGAACTTCGCAAGAAATTCGAGGGAACACCAGAAAATGTTATTAATTTCTTCTATTATGTCGCCGAAGAATGTCGTCAAATCATGGCGAAACTTGGGTTCCGCTCTATTAATGAAATGGTCGGTCGTTCAGATCGATTAAAGGTTAACGATTCTCTACGTAACCCCAAAACCGAAAATATCGACTTAACCCCAATTCTTACTCCTGCTTTTACTTTACGTCCAAACGTTGCAACATACAACATACGAAAACAAGATCACAAGCTTTATGTTCGTCTTGACAATAGACTCATTGATGAATCCGAAGATGCGCTATCCAAAAAATTACCTGTAAAAATTGACTGTGAAGTAGTGAACACAGATCGTGCCCTTGGTACCACACTATCTTATCACGTTTCCCGTCGTTGTGGAGAAAATGGTCTCCCCGATGATACTATTCACGTGAATCTTAAAGGTTCCGCCGGACAATCCTTTGGTGCATTCTTGGCACCCGGTATTACTCTCGAATTGGAGGGAGATGCAAACGATTACGTCGGAAAAGGTCTTTCCGGAGGCCGTCTTATTGTTTATCCACCCAAAGTTTCTAAGTTTAAATCTGAAGAAAATATTATTGTTGGAAATGTTTGTTTATATGGTGCAACCGCTGGCCAAGCTTTCTTTCGAGGAATTGCAGCCGAACGTTTCTGTGTACGTAATTCTGGAGCTACTGCTGTAGTTGAAGGTGTTGGTGATCATGGTTGTGAATATATGACAGGAGGTCGTGTAGTTGTACTCGGACAAACTGGCCGTAACTTTGCAGCTGGCATGAGTGGTGGAATAGCCTACGTTTTAGATGTTACACAAGATTTCAAGAATAAATGTAATATGGAGATGGTTGACCTGGAAACAGTCAACGATGCAAAGGAAGTTGCTTTCTTACGTGGTCTCATCGAAGATTATCGTCATTATACTGGCTCTGACTTGGCCGATCGTGTATTAAAAAATTTCAATCAATTTCTGCCACGATTTATCAAAGTAATGCCGACCGACTATCGAGCTATACTCGAAAAACAACGAATTGCAGCGGAACAAGCACAAAAACAAAAAGAAATACCAAGACCAGAAATTTCTGCCAAACCCGCCGAACCATCTCTAGTGGACATAGAAGACGCGATGGTCGATGAAGAAGCAGCAAAGAAACGAACTGAAACCCTCGACAAAGTTCGTGGCTTTATGAAATACAAACGACGCGGTGACAATTATCGTAACCCATCGAAACGTGCAAAAGACTGGAACGAAATTAATGCGCGGTTATCCGATGCTAGTCTTAAAGAACAAGCGGCTCGCTGTATGGATTGCGGTGTACCTTTCTGTCAATCAGACAGTGGATGTCCTATTGGAAATATTATTCCTAAATGGAATGATCTCGTGTTTAAAGATCAATGGAAGGACGCATTGAATCGCCTTATGATGACTAATAATTTCCCAGAATTCACCGGTCGTGTTTGTCCTGCTCCTTGTGAAGGTGCATGTGTATTGGGTATTAATGAATTACCTGTCAGTATAAAATCTATTGAATGTGCAATTATCGATAAAGGTTTCGAAATGGGATGGATTGCTCCACAACCGCCCGCTATTAGAACTGGTAAAAAGGTTGCGATCATTGGATCAGGTCCAGCTGGTTTATCGGCTGCTGATCAACTAAATAAAGCCGGACATACTGTTACTGTATACGATCGTAATGACCGATTCGGTGGTCTATTAATGTACGGCATTCCAAATATGAAATTAGACAAAAAGATTGTCCAGCGGAGAATTGATCTTCTCGCTGCAGAAGGCATCAAATTTGTTGCTAATGCTCACGTTGGAGTGAATGTAGACGCTAACAAAATACGTAAAGAAAATAACGCATTAATTCTGGCTACTGGAGCTACATGGCCGCGTGATCTAAAAGTTCCTAATAGAAATTTGGATGGTATACATTTTGCAATGGAATTCTTACAACTAAATACGCAGAGTCTTTTAGACTCTAATTTGGAAAATGGAAAATATCTGAGTGCAAAGGATAAGAAGTAAATTTCGATATTTTATTTGTTTTTTTACAATTTTTTCGTAATCAATTTTTTGCAATTAATTAATTAATCAATTTCCTTTTTAGTGTAATTGTAATTGGAGGAGGCGACACTGGTACTGACTGTATAGGAACATCATTGCGTCATGGTAGATATCCAATTTATTATCTATGTTTATGTCAATATACTTGTTACATTATAAGCGTGTTTTAAATTTATCTGATTTAATTATTCTTTATTTTCTTGTAATCTAGGTGCAAAATCTATAGTTAATTTTGAGTTGCTACCCGCACCTCCAGCAACTAGAGCCTTAGATAATCCATGGCCACAATTCCCTCGAGTATTCAAAGTAGACTACGGCCACGCCGAAGTCCAAATGAAATTCGGCAAAGATCCCCGTGAATTCTGTATACTAACAAAAGAATTCGTATCCAACGGCAATGGTCACGTCACAGGTCTAAACACTATTCGTGTTGAATGGTCAAAAGACAATGCTGGTCGATGGACAATGAAAGAAATTCCCGGCTCAGAACAATTTTTCGCTGCCGATTTAGTGCTATTAGCCATGGGATTTTTGGGCCCCGAAGATAAACTAATACATAGCCTTGGACTAAAAACTGATGCACGAACAAACATTGAAACTCCAAACGGCAAGTATTCTACCGTCGTTCCAGGGGTGTTTGCCGCTGGTGATTGTCGCCGCGGACAAAGTTTAATTGTGTGGGGAATTAATGAGGGACGTCAAGCTGCACGAGAAGTGGATCAGCATTTGATGGGTGATACTAATCTTCCAGTGTCGGGTGGTATAAAGCAACGCACTCTCGAATCCCTGTCAAATCAATATCATCATGGACTTGTTCTTGTTGCCAATTAAGAACTTTTTAGATTGAGGACTTTTATTTCATTTATCAATTAATTAAAAATATATAGGCTTGTCGTAATATACACACATACATAATCGCAATGTTTATTTATTATTTGTAATTATTATTGTAATAAATTTTATGTAAATAACAACAATCTTAATACTACAAAATTCAACTGTGATTAAATGAAGATGATTTTGACGTTTTCATTAATAACGAGAAGATCAATAGTTCACATGGGAGAAAGGAGAATATTAAAGTTTTAATTTATTGAAGAAAGGTGATTTTATGCCACTGCTAGAGAGAATATCTACTTCAAAACTAATAAATGATACTTATGATCCAACATCACAGAAAGCCAAAATAATTCATAATTTAATATTTGCAAAATATTCAACATAACAATGTCAGGGATAATAAAAGATTTCTCAAAAAGAACAAATGGTAGCCAGAAAATTATGAATCAATTGAGAATGCGAATAGCAAGACTTTAATCTCGGTGTTGTTTTCGAGTCTCTTGAGATGAACGAGTTTCCAGCTCGAAGATACATGGAACTATTCCCTGATTGATCTTCGTAGATTCCAGAAACACTTTGCAGTTCAATCCACGATTTTTGTTGCTTAAATCAATCTCAATCAGAGAACAGCAACGATGACTGAGGAGCAGGAAAAGAAAAATTAACATTTTTGCTAATATCTTTGCGAAATCCAACAATAAATACTCTTTCTCTTTTTTGTGCTACTCCATAATCCCACGCGTTAAGCAACTTTCATTGAACTTGATAATTTTTACTTTTTAGTATCTTAATTATTTCCTTAAAAGTTTTGCCCTGCTGATGAATTAATAAACCCCGCACATTTTCAATTAAAAAGGCTTTGGGTTGTCATAATTCTAGTAATTTAACGAACTCATGGAATACTTTCCCCCTTTTGTCTTGAAATCCCCCTTTTTTACCCGCAAAACTAAAAGATTGACAAGGGAAACCGCCTGATAGTAAATAAATTTGCGGTAAGTTATAAGTAGAAAAATCCGCAACAAATTTGGTAATATCCTCTTGAATTATCTTTCAATGAGATTTATTTTTCCTTAAAGTGGCGCAAGCATCAGGAACAATTTCGAGACAACAAACACTTTCTCAGATGGAAAAATTCAAATTGCAACAACCATTTCATTTTTCAATTTTGGATTATTATTTCTTAAGAACTAGAGTTGCTGACTGTAACATTGGATTCTTCTAAGTAATCTAAAAGACTTTACTTGATAAATAGTTTTGTGCGGTGCATTTGGATTCTCACCGGAAATGGACAATACCAATCCTACTCGATATAACAGATTTATTATCAAAGTATTGTTTCTCAAACTACATTTTTCTTTGTATTAAATCAGGTTTCATAACGCGACTGCGACATGGGAAAGTGGTGTATTCTTACAGAAAAAACTAACATAAGGTTCATGGAATTCAATTTTTGATACTTATGGCCGAAATTGGGATGGTGCTTATTCCCAGGAGAATACAATTACTTTTATTCTGTTGTATCGTTAACAAATTTTTAGTAGTGTTGCCGTCACCGCTTAAATTCTCCAAATCGCTGACTTTTTTGCCCGCATAGCGTAAGCTTCATCAAAACTATATAGCACTTTTTTATCAAATTATTTTTCATCAAAACAACATAATACTTTTTTCATCATAAAATATAGCACATATTTCATCAAAAACAATATACGTAATACGTACGTACATTCATTACCAATTATCTCAGTTTTCGAAATAGTCCGATAGGCGAATTTGTGAAATTTTAAGGAGTCCAATGATTACTGCATGTATATTAATTATAATTGTAACGGAGCTTCAATATGTATTTAATATTTATCATTGTAGGCTCGCTATCGTTTTGTAAAATTTTCATTATGTAATATGTATCGATATGCAGTGATCACAGTAATCATCTCATTAAAATTTCACATATTTGCCTATCTGACTACTTCGAAATACGCAAATACGTAATTCATCAGATAAATTAGCAGTTCTTTTAGCATAATTAGTCCTCGCTATACCAATCAAACACTTGTAGTATCAAGAACAAGAATGTATATAAAGAACGGCCCTCAGGAAGATAGAATTAAATTGCGTACAATTATTCAAGTAAATTAAGGCTTGTAAAATCCCTTATATAGTAAACGTTAACGTTATTTTGATGGTTAGGTCCTTTGTTCCAGAAAAGGCATCGTATTGTTAAGAGAAATCGTTATTGTGTATTGAATAGGATTAATCGAAGTAATCAGACATTAAGAGATTAAGGCTTTTATCTAGAAAAAGCATCATAATAGTTATAACCAATAAAGTTAATTGCATAAATCATAAACCCTTAATTATCTTACCTAAACCCGAATCACCTCCTTGTAATCCTCGAAACCCGACGCAACTAACGATATCTGTGGATATCGGCACAGGCTTTAGAATTTATTAACTTGAATTTAGTCTATATTACTCCTCATCTATTGTTGAAGGTAAAAAATCTCTAAACCGACTAATTAATTCAAACCTGCAATAGTAATAAATCCTTGGTGTCAAAGGAATATTCGTTTTTTTTTAGTTTTTGAGCTTGGCTTGATTAAAATGCAATAACAAAATACTCAAATAATAGAAATATCTCTACAAAATCCTAACCCACAGCAAAAAACGAAAATCATGCTGTTGTTAACAATCATTTAGCAGGTATTCATTCAAAATTTATGGTGAAAAAAGCGGATCGATTTCTTGTGAGAGATCTTGACCTGGATAATATTAAAGCAAAATAATGGTAAAAAATGATAAAGTTGCATTTTCCACTTTGATATTGACCAGGTAAAAATAATTTTTTTCGACCAGTGTTTTCTATTACAGTAAAAAAGCAAAATATTCTAGTTAAAATTGCTGTAGCAAGGATTCGTTGAATATTAACGAACAGGAAATCAGATGGGGCTTTATGCATTTTTCTTGTTCTCTCTTTTTCTAGTCTTTTTTAATTAACTTCAAAATCTGATTTATAATCATTGTTCGGAGGCTCCAAAGCCAGTATTTTTTGTTCCTTTTTTTTGTTGTTTTCTTGTGAATGCACTGCTTTTCATCGTGTTGGCATGAAATAAAAAAATACTTATCTATGTTTTAGCTGATGAGATGGATGAAATACGAGAAAGTACAGAAAGAAACAAAAGGAACAAAAGAGCAAGAACAAAAGAGCAAGGGAAAAAAGAATAAAAGAGAGAATAACAATTCGCGCTTTGATCTATTTATAACAAATCTACTAAAGAGTCAGTCATGATCTTGGATATGAGAATAAATAATTAATTACAAATATTTTCTCTTAGATTTGATTTTGTCGCATCGTTATACATAGGGATGTTTAAAATGCTCACTCAAAGTCGGTTTTTGAGTTTGCTTTGGCTGAGCTTCAAGTTCGACTCCAAACTGATCCAAATAGTCACATGATCAACGAAAATCTACCAATCAAATTAATAAATAAGCAACGCACGATGGAGGAAGATGAATAACTATAAACATGTAAAATAGCTAAGCTTAGGAATAACTCTCGCTAAATGATTCTTGTAAGTAGTCGCTTTTTTATTGACCATCTTACAAAAAAATATATAAAACTAATAGATCTACAACTAACGACCCTAAACAACTACTCATCAATACCTTCTAATTTAGAGAATTTAATAATCCTAAATATAATTTAATCAGTAATCGATGACCCAAAACTTCGGACAAAATAATAACCGACAAATATTCGCGCTCACCTGATTATACAATGTATTACTTAATTCGGGTTCACTTAATAACATGTGTTTGATCTGAGACTTTTAAATATATTTAAGAACACTGAACAAAAGAATATTATTTCATTTAAATAAAAAATAATTGCATTAGTAAAATGGTTAACAAAACGATTTTAAAAAGCCGCTTGTTTTCTTCCTATTCATTCATCCGTGTATCTCTCACCCTAATACGCTAATTTCGATGTCCTCTACAAATTCTTATCCTTTTAACAATTATTTTACCGAGGCTGAAGATACTCAACATCTCTTGAAAGCGATCATTCTACAGAAGAAAAACCATCAAGAAAAAAACGAAAACTTGCACCTGTTAAGCGGGAATGCTAAATTAGATGGATATGTAATACATGTAATACATATATCACATGTGTATCAGGTGATTTGACTCAAAGCCAAATCTTAATCAAACTCGACTCCTGAAACCAAGCAGAACCAAGTCGAACTTTTAACATCCCTAGTTATACACAGCCATTTTTAATGTCTAGTTCTAAAATAGTGGATTTTACATTTTTACTCTTGATAATGAAACATCCATATCTGTATTGATTTGAACAAGGTATATATTTTATCATATAACTGGAGTACTGAACCATATCTCAATAGTAATTCGTAGTTTCTTCAATTCACGATTCATTTCGTCAATTCCATCTACGTATTTTGTGATCTACATGTATTTCTGCGATTTGTCTTTTCAGGGCATCTGGTTCCTAACCAAGAGAAAAGGCGCTAAGACACATAATCAACAAAATTAAAATGTTACATCAGAAATATGTTAGTTTTGTCCTCCGGATTTTTAATGGAGTAGAAAAGTAGATCAGACTTTTCCTCTACAGCGAAACACGAAGCGAGACCATCAATTTCTGAATAGACTGAAGTAGATGCGGTAGTTGACATGGTTGCTATTTATAGGTTTGTATAAAGTTTGCATATACAGTTAAACCTCTCTAAGTGATCCTCTATAAATGCACGGTATGGCTTGGTTCCAAGTTATAAGACACATATACTTTACTCTATAAATGCACACTCTCTCTAAATGCACACTCTGCCTGTTTTTTACTATGGTCCCCGGGGGTACACTTAGAGAGATTTTACTGTATGAGGAATTGATTGTCGCATAAGAGGACCAGGAAACTATGTATAAATTTTGAGACCATAGTAAATTTTCAAAAAGGAAAAGTGATGTGGTGGTCC